TTTATATTAATTTCTTGGCAAATAATAACAAAAAAAAGTATACAAGGCAGTGTGAATATTAATTTTATGATAAGTTTATTCTCAGTGCTGTGCAGCTCTCTATATTATTTCAGAATCATTTTACATTTACGTCATTTACATCATCACGGCAGACGCTCTTATCCAGAGCCACTTACAATTTCATCATTTTTTACACAGGTAGGCGAAGGTAGTGTTAGGAGTCTCTTACTGGTATAGTATAGGGTGCCTGGTCAGGTAGGGGATTGAACTACAGTGTAGAAGGCAGGGGTGTTACCCACTACATCAGAGGTCGGTAATAGGCGGACCGCGTTCCGAGTCCGGACCCAGACACTGTACTATGCGGACCTGAACCCAAAACCGCTAAACTATGGAGAATAATTTATTTAGACGGGGTGGTCTTGTTTTAATCGTGCGTTATAAATATCACACGTGACGCTACTCAGCCAATCAGATCTGTGCATTATGATGAGCACTGAGACTCGAGTGAGTGACGCACACACAGGGGAGGGACGAGGCGAGAAACAGCAGTCAGAGAAGAAAGTGAGCCGGATTATTTTCCATGTCGTGATCTAAAAAGAGAAAACTGACAATAAATGTTGTTGAAATATGACTGAATTGTACTTTATTTGATTTGACATTCAGTTGTTGACTGTATAAGATACTGATATACCTACTAGGCTACTTCAGTAAACAGTATATGACACGGAATCATGATGCGAGTTAGACATTATGATGTTTTGGACCTTTGCCTGAGGAAATTTTCTTTGACTGGACCTTACTGCATTTTAATTTAAGACCGCTGCACTACACTCTACCAACCACTATAATCTATACCAGTCACTAGAATCCATTCTACTGCTATTATACAGCTTCATTCATCATCCCAAAACTGTTTGAAACTTATAGATATTAACATCATATTAAAATCATTGAATACATGTACACTATACTGCACAAATGCCTCCCTTCTTATTTATTGCCAGCTAAACTGGCTATTACGTACAAGATATTAATTTTTCAGAAGATATTTCTGGAAGATTAGATATAAAATATTCCACTTCCATAAGGAAAAGGAAAGTCAAAGGAAAATAAATGGGAAAAAAACTGTTTTCAAAAGCTATAAAGAAAATGGGACTAACAACAACAAGAACCACTGGCAGACCACCAAAGCTGTCACCATCATAAACAGTACTTACTTCTGATCCACAGGTGTTTCTGTCCATCCTTCCACTGTGAGAAGACCCTACAATAAGCTATACAAACGGAAAATGTGTGCAGTAGAAAGTATCTATCTTGTACATATGAAGTAAAATAAAATGTAATGTGTCTCTAAAACGTCTCTCATCTTTTCATGTAGAAGTGTGCCTCTCTAGTGTGAGCAGCCTCCTTCAGCACTAATCCAGTGATGGAGTCCAGGGGGCATGGCTGGTATGGACCTGGCCCTCAGTACCACCCCTCAGCCCAGCCGCCGCGCCACAGAGACAGAGACGACTATTATAGACCACATCACCCTGGACAGGGGCACTACCCCCCTCCGGACCCCAGAGAAAGAGAGAGAGAGAGACAGTGGTACTCTCCAGACCCTCGTTACAGGCAGTATTTGACCAGTCCTCCCCCGAGACCGGAGTTTATGCCTGGCTACAGCAGCACCCCACAGTCAAACCAGAGCTATGGACCGAACCGTGCTCGTCCACTGTCCAGGTAAGTGTGAGAATGGGCACTCACTGGCCACTTTATAAGAAACTCCTACCTCCTCTCTCCTTCATCGGTGGTCAGTTTGGGACCACAGAGCTGGTCTTGACTGGATATTTTGTGGTCAGGGTAACATGGACGGGGAGTTTATGCAATGCTATGCTATGCTGTGCACAAACTTAAGCTCAAATGGGTTTTATTATGAAGTTTAATGCGCAAAATATTGAAAAATCAAGTTGATTCTTGACTTAAGCATTAAAAATCTGAAAATACTGAACCTGAAAATCCTTAATCCTTATGCATCAGTTTATGGAACAGGATGAATATGAGTCTGACTGGTCTAATCTATTTAGACAGGCATATGATTATCCTCCCCAGAGCTATTGGGACTACAGGGACGACTACGGCTATTATGATCACGGCTATTACAGAGGACATTATGGATACCCAGGTATTTACGTTATTTTATTCTGAGTAATGGTGAGTGATATGGCAGAGATGTAATATTGCAATATGTGATTTTCATGATATACGATGTATCACACATTTTAATCAAACACATCAATTAAACCCTCTAGCTAGTTCTCCCCTTATCACACAATGCTACCAAGCTTCATGTGCTTTTTGTTTTTTATTTTATTTAGCCTTTAATTAACCAGGCTAGCCATTAACATATCATATTTACAATGGCAGCTTGGCAAGCTCTGCAAGACAGTTGTAAAAAAAATGGAAAGAATAGGGTAAGAAAAGGAAAATCACCTTAAATACACAATAAAAATATCACTAGAAATATCCTTGATGCGGCCCTAAAAAGCAGTAACTGAAATAAAAGTGTCCAGTTTTAGTGTATCTTGTAGTTGTTCCAGTCTTTGGCAGCAGGAGACTGAAATGATGAAGAGCTGAGGGCAGTGCTGGATTTAGGGACTTTTAACTTGATAAAAATAGACGACCTGGTGTGATAGGTAACAGATTCTGGTTTAGTAGCTCACATAAATAAGGTCTGAGTAGAGTTTTATAGATGAGTGTAAACCAGTGGATTTTACACCGAGTAGTCAAAGAAGGCGCCTCCTCTGAGACACGGAAGGCCACAGACCACATCTTTTCAAACTGCTGCTAACTCAGCATCATTGGTTTGCTCAACAACCCACTCAGAGAGACCGAGGCCACTTATGCTTTCTTGGACTCGTGGCCACGGATGGCTGTAGCATCACCCGGCCTGAAATTGTGATCTCTGAATTATAGGACTAACGCTTAGGAGCCCCTGTATGCAGTTTTAATTGACATTGAGTGCGTATACATTCACTCAATAATCAGATACATGTAGACACCATACTCCGATCTAGAAATCGGATTAAGAAATCTGATAAAGAGGCTGGATTTTAGCTCAGTAATCTGATTTCTCAGTGCATTTAAACTCTTACTCTGATTTCTTTCGGATTTCTCAGTCGGCGCTGAAACCAAACAAGAAAGATTTAAATATTCTTCATCTTCTAAATGATGTATGTTCATATTTTCAGGTAAAGTTGTTTTACCTGTTTTGAAAAAACGCAGCATGAATTTGAGTTTTACGTTGCGAAGCATGCATTTGTTCAGTCTTTACAGAAATATTGATATATTTCTGAAACCTGATATGCTCAGGAAAGCGTATCATGATGTAATGTATTGTGATAACGCATTGAAATATCACCCACTCCAGGGCAGAGTCCAATAGCTAAACACCACAATTCCTGCTGAATTCACATTGATGTAAAATCTACTCTTGCTGATGTTCATGTTGATGTCTTGTTGAGTCACCTCAGAGGCCGGTGGATGGCCAGCGCAGGATGGCTGGCGGTCAGAGGCGTATCAGAGCAGGGGGACAGAGCAGGAATGGACAGGAGCCACATATTCAGACCAGCAAGGGTCAGTCCATCTTTCATTTATTCACACAGCCTCTTTTTCTCTCTATCTCAACAAAACTGACATGTTTTAACCCTTAAAAATCACTGTCGTCGTAACAAAACCTCATATCTGCAAAATGATAACTTTACAGGAGAAGGAAAAAACCTACTTAACTTTTAATGTGAGTCAATGGAACCAGACTTTTTTCCAAGTCATTTTTGGTCATTTCTTTTGGTCCATTAATCATGAAATTTACTCACAACGAAAGTTCAACAGGTATTTTCAAATTGTGTCAAAACTGAAAAACAACAAAAATGGAGGAACGAGGTTTTCTTCATATCATTGCTGTCAAAAAAAATTCTCTGTTTTGGTTGATTTTTTCATTTTTCTACATCATTCGAACACAGCAGGTGCCCTGTACACTGTGTGAACATTTGGCGATGAACAGATTAATAAAAACGCTCTAACATCAATTCGGATAAAACCTCTTTACATAAACTTACATTAAAAGGTAATGGTTAGTGTCATTTTATGTCGTTCTTCTCTTTAAACCATTTTGAGCTGCTTATTTATACAAAAGGTGCTATAAAATATGCTATTTTTGTTTAAAACTGTCAGAATATTATAATTAGTGGCAATTGCAAAATAAAAAATACAAAATATTTTTAACCCGTGTGTGGTGTTCAGGTCTGTGGGACCCATTTTCAGTGTTTACCAAAAGAAAAAATGATGTGATTTATTATTATTTCAACCTCAGATTTCTTGGTCTTTGCTCATTTTCTATGAAGAACATATAAAATAGCCCATTTTCAGTGTCTTCACTCTGTTCACCCCCCACACATTTATATTACACATGTGGTGTTGGGCTGAACCCGCGGGGAGTAAAAGTGTGGAGGTGCTGTGTCCTTCACTCTGTTCTCCTCCTACATGGCCTGCTGTTAGTGTGTGTGTGTGTGTTTGTATATGTGTGTGTGTGAGGGTGGACAACATGCACAGGCTGCTGACTGGCTACAGCTGCTAAAGGAGAACCCTACATTGGACACTTGTGATATTTTAAACATCTAGTATTTTTACATAAATTGTTATGACTGTATTGGTTTAAAAAACAATAATGCAGTGGGTCCACCAGACCACTGAGTAACACACACATCAACACCACACAAGGGTTAAATTTTATTTGCCACTTTTCTGAAAAAAATAGATGTGGTGGGGTGGGAGGTGGGGGAGTTAGAAGGTGATCAGGTCACGGGTTGACCTGAGGTATGTATTAAAGGGCTTAATATCAGTATTGCATAAACATGTCTAATGTGAATCTCTCAGGTACGGCCCCAGAAGAGACAGCGTTCCGTATGATGGTGGTGTTTCTGGGATGGAGCGCAGGGAAAGCATGGAGAATGGAAAAGGAGCTGGAGAGGTTTGCCACCTTTGATCCTTTTACAGCACTGTGTTCTGCTTAGGGATGCCTTCTTGCATGAATGTGCACTCTCAGAAATAAAGGTACTAAACTGTCACTGGAGTGGTTCCCTCAAGGCTCCATCTCAGTACCTTTAGTCAGGGAACATAACTGAACCATAATCCACTGAAATGATATGTTCTAAGCTGTACTGACTCCACACACCCCGTCTCGTCTCCAGGCTTTTATTTTACTGTTCTGTTTAAAACATTCGGTTATGAAAAGGTACAAATACGAACTTTTCACCTGGAAAAACTTATTTAAGGATCACAATCAGACCTTAAAACCACTGTTGGAGCTTTGAGGGAACATTTACACTGTTTGTGCCTTGATGAACGAGAAATGTACCTGAACAGAACCTTCATTTCTAACAGTATGAAGCTCCTGCTACTGTAAGAGTGATAGGAACACAGCATAAAATATAACATGGATTTTTTGTATAGTTAAACAGGGTTGAGAAGAACATGCCTTTGGTCTTCTTCCTGTATGTCATTAGCGATATCATATGTGAATTCTTTCCACAGATATTGGACAGATATAATGAGATTCACACTATTTATGTACAGTGAAAGTAGCTTTTTCATCATAAGTGTTCTCGATCACTGAGTTTACTCCTGTATTATTTTAATCAGTCTTATTGTAGCTGTAATAAAGCCCCATTTTGAAGTAAATAATCAAATTACTGAGCTCATCAGGCTGAAGTACAGCCTCCACACGAGGGGGTTAGTTATAACACATGGCCTCCAAAGGTGAGAGATGTCCATATACACCCATATACACCGATCAGGCATAACATTGTGACCACCTCCTTGTTTCTCTGCTCATTGTCCATTTAATCAGCTCTACTTACTATATAGGTGCACTTTGTAGACACAGCAGTGCTGCTGGAGTTTTTAAACACTGTGTCCACTCACTGTCCACTCTATTAGACACTCCTACCTTGTCAGTCCACCTTGTAGGTGTAAAGTCAGAGACGATAGCTCATCTGCTGCTGCACAGTTTGTGTTGGTCATCCTCTAGTCCTTCATCAGTGGTCACAGGATGCTGCCCACAGGACGCTGTTGGCTGGATATTTTTGGTTGGTGGACTATTCTCAGTCCAGCAGTGACACTGAGGTGTTTAAAAACTCCAGCAGCACTGCTGTGTCTGATCCACTCAGACCAGCGCAACAGACACTAACACACCACCACCACGTCAGTGTTACTGCAGTGCTGAGAATGATCCACCACCCAAATAGTACCTGCTTTGAACGTTTGAACGTTTTTATACACAGGTTAATCAGAGATGTGCTATAGATGTAGATCTATTTAAACTTTATTGTGCTGATGTTTACTTTTCTGTTTGGTGCTCAGAAATAAATTTGCCATGTTTGATTTGGCTCTTTCCAGTAATAATTTATTTTGATTTTGATATTTTTGGTTGGAAAGCTTGTCTCAGAGTTATAATGAATCCATAGTGAATTAATTGTGTTTTTATTCAAATTCATTTTATTTTAAATTGACTTTTTAGTGACTGTAATAACTAGACCTTCTGTCTTTTACAATTAACCCCACCTTTGGGGTTAGTTATGACATTTTCACAAAGAATTGCACAATTTTTAGGCAGAAAAGTGTAGGGAAAAATACTTCCTCCATTTTAAAATGATTTAACAAACCCCAAAAGTGTTAGACTGTGCCTCGCTCTGCCCTTCATTGATATATTCTAATTATTTCTTGTGTCTTTAAACTGCTGCTTAATATGCGTATTATCACTGTCCAAAGAAAAACAGGTATCTCTAAAATGGTGACTTTGCAGGAGCACAACAAAACGTTCTTGACTTTTAATGGAAGTAAATGTAAAGAGATTTTAGTAATTTTGGAGAATTTCTATTGGTTCGTTTATCATATAATGTTCACGCAATCTAAAAGACCACCATGTTCAGATGGTATAGAAAAATAAAAATAGACAAAAATAGAGGTACATTTTGACTTGTCATTTGTACACTACACTGTTAGAAATAAAGGTTCTGTGCAGGTACATTTCTTGTCCATCAAGGTACAAACAATGAGTGTGTTTACATGCACTCAATAATCTGATCATAATCAGATTTCTGCAGTTATCCGATTATTCAAATGGTCATGTAAACACCATACTCCGATCTAGAAGTCCGATTAAGCAATCCGATGAAGAGAGCTGGATTTTGGCTCAGTAATCAGATTTCTCAGTGCATGTAAACTCTTACTCTGATTTCTTTTGGATTTCTCAGTCTGAGCATGCGCGAGAACGGACCGCGGTACCAGAAATAAGTGAGCAGCGTCGCCGCGAGACACAGCAAGACACTTTTGGAGCGTCACTGAAACCAAATACATACATACATACATACATACATCATCTAAACCGCTTATCCTTCTGGGTCGCGGTGGGGTGCTGGAGCCTATCCCAGCTGTCATTGGGCAGAAGGCAGGATACACCTTGGACAGGTCGCCAGTCCATCGCAGGGAAACCAAATACATGCTCGATAAAATGAAGGATTTAAATATTTTTCATCTTCTAGATGACATATGTTCATATTTTCAGGTAAAATGAGTTGATGTTTAAAAAAAGCCGAGGCATTTAGTTTGAGTTTTACATTACATTTACATCTTCTGTGAGTTTATTGGCTGGTTGTAAAGCAGAAATCTGATTACTGTTAGACTCAGGTAGACCTGGAGTTTCCCCATTATCTGATTACTCGAGTGCATATAAACATGTTCATCGGATTACTGACAAAATCTGATTTTCTGCAGTTATTGGATTATTAAGTGCATTTAAACACACTCAATGTAAATGATTCCTCAAAGCTCCAACAGTGGTTTTAAGGTCTGATTGTGAACCTTAAATAAGTTTTTCCAGGTGAAAAGTTCGTATTTGTACCTTTTCATAACCGAATGTTTTAAACAGAACAGTAAAATAAAGTCCTGGAGACGAGACGGGGTGTGTGGAGTCAGTACAGCTTAGAACATATCATTTCAGTGGATTATGGTTCAGTTATGTTCCCTGACTAAAGGTACTGAGATGGACCCTTAAGGGTCCCACCCCAGTACCAGTTTAGGACCTTTATTTCTGAGAGTGAACTTATCGTCTCGATTTAAATGGTCAGTGGAGGTATTGAACGACACATTCAGGATACCGGCACGGGTGTGTTTCATTGTTTGCATCATACTGAACGTTCATGCAGTGTTTGCTAAGTCAACCCAAAGAGCCCTGCATTTCTGCTTGTGTCCTGCTTTTAGCTTAAACTGCTGTTTTTTCCCCTCCAGGCGTGTGAACCTGGAGCTCTGGCCAGTTCCAAAACCTCCGGCCTGTCGTCCAGCAGCTACGAACTCAGTCAGTACATGAATGGAGCGGAGCAGTCAGACGCTGCACCTCCACCTCTCTCAGGTAGAGCACAACACAGCGAACGCATCCTCAGCTGCCTCCGTGTCTTGACCTGGTTATCACAGCTAGAGCAGGATACAATCAACGTTATGTAACTGCAACAATACATATAATACTGTTCAAAAGTTTGAAATCACACACAATATGTAGCCACTTTGGTTGCAGATATGTGTATAATAATGACTAATATAATAGCCATAGGAACACTAGGATGCTTTAAAATAAAAAAATGACAAATTTTAGATGTGCCCAGAATGAAACAGAGTCATAGAAGGTCTTTAAATGACTGATAAAGCTGTACAACATCAAGAATAAAGTGTTTTTTGTCCAGAATTCATCCTATTTTAAAGGTGGAGATCTCAAGGCAGATAATTTGACAAATAAGTTAATTAAATAATTACAGTGTATTATTTATCATTTTGATAAATCATAGAATTATTGTAGGACTGAATAAAACATCTAAACATAACCTTTGGCAAATATTTTGTAAAATATAAATCCACATTGTATTATTGTTGGATACAAAGCAAGTCTCTTGTAAGCATCTCATAAATTCTGCCAATTTTAGAGCTCCTTCCTGATACAAACCCAATTCCAAAAAACTCCAGCAGCACTGCTGTGTCTGATCCACTCAGACCAGCACAACACACACTAACACACCACCACCACGTCAGTGTTACTGCAGTGCTGAGAATGATCCTCCACCCAAATAGTACCTGCTCTGTGAGGGTCCATGGGGGTCCTGACCACTGAAGAACAGGGTAAAAGGGGGCTAACAAAGTATCAGAGAAACAGATGGACTACAGTCTGTAACTGTAGAACTACAAAGTGCACCTATATAGTAAGTGGAGCTGATAAAATGGACAATGAGCATAGAAACAAGGAGGTGGTCATAATGTTATGTCTGACCGGTGTATTTATCCATCCATCCATCTTTTCTCAGTTTGATATTTGTGTACTCTCTTGTCACTAGAACCTGAGGTTGAGTCTAAAGCTTTTGCCCCGCTGAAGTTTTGTGTTCCTCACGTGGCTGTGAGCTTCGGGCCGGCGGGGCAGCTGGTCAGGGTCAGTCCAGCCCTGCCCTCTCATGGTGAACCGGCTCAGGTGGAGCTTCACAGTCTGGAGGTACCGTACAACCTCGAGTCCCCAACTAATGCTCGTCTGTGTGTAATCTGGCTGAGCAGAAGTGAGGAAGAATTGGGGAGAATGTTTTTGCTCTCAGTTTTTTGGGAAATTGTGAAGAAATCTGTCATATTTAAGTATATTTTTATGAATCAGTAACACATCTACTGTTTTAATTTGTGTGGAAGGCAGTGTTGAGTGTGAGCGGTGATTAATTGTACTCATCAATGTGAACAGGTTATTCTGAGTGACACACGTGAACAGCATGATATGAGAGACTTTCCTGGGCCGCTGGCGAGGTGAGACAGGTTACGGGTTTAGAGTGCTATTCTTTAAGGTCTAGTTTCATTAACTCCTGTAAAACATTCAGTTTAAATTTTTTTTCTTCATTTGACGAATATAACAAAGTACTTCTGCTCTGGGCGTGGCTGTTTTTCTGGTTTCTGGATGTTTGTCTTTCTTTTTTCTTTCATGAAGGGAGGATTTGCATAAGGTAGATGTCATTAACTTCGCCCTGCAGATGGCTGATGCTTGTCTGAAGGATAGAGCGCTGTCTGATGCTTCCTCTGCTGCCCTCCTGTGGCATCTGCTGGTATTACTGTGCAGACAGAATGGGGTAAGTACTTACGGGGGATCAGACTGTGTCAATAAAGGAGCCATCCTATGCATATTTAGCTTTTTCCTGTCCAATTACAACTTTTGGATGTTTTTTTTTTAACCAAAAACAGTAAAAAATAATTTTTAGATGTCCGTTTTCCTACCTTTCTTTATGCATCGCAACCAGAATGAATTAAAAGCAGTTTGTTTTTGCATCCTGGTTTCCATATGTTGACTGTATGGTCTGGAGAGTTATCAGTTTTGAGACAAAGTACTGGCGGAGATTTTGAATAAATGCTCCCTTAATCAGTAATCAAATAGATTAGATATTGTGATCAATAACCAAATAGGTAGTTTTGGCTAACAGAGAATCCTAATTATCTCACAAAGGGTTGGCCTTTGTTTGTTTGCATAGGAGACTGTAGACACTGGAAAGCCCCTGGGTTCACAGAGAGGCCTGTGTGTACCTACTGACCCAGTGAAGAGAGGGGCAAGTTGACCTTGAAAGGTAGAGCAGGCTGGTAAAAACCAGTTGGAACCAGTTTTTAGGAGTGAGCGCAACATGCGATGACCAAATTGATGGACGAAAAGATGCACCTATTATAGACTGAGCTAATATCACAATTTGAGAAGTAAGGTGGGGGGATATCACATTACCACCTGATGCTGAAATAAAGAAGAGGCCTTTTTCCCTCTTCCGCAAACTCAGCGTCTGAAGACTCTTTCATTTTTGACGTCTTTTGAGAACTCAGACTTAAAACAGTTACTAGTGAAAGTGTTCAGCCAGTATTAAAAGATTCTTTTTTATTCATAATATTATGTTGGATGCCTGGGGTTGAAGCCCTTGGTCCCGACAGTACACTAAACTTACTTATTTAAAAATATGAGTAAAGTACAGTTTTCTGCAGAGGTGGACAAAAGAGTGTTAAAAATACAGAGAAACTGTACTTAAGTAAAAGTATGAAGCCAAAAATATCCTTGAGTGAAAGTAAAAAAAGATCTACATTTAAACACGCTATATAGTATATAAGTATAAGCATATAAAAGTAAAAAGTAAATCTTTTAACAAATAAATGAAATGTTTTCTTTGTTTGATGCGTGTGATTCAGTGGTGCGTCACACCACAAAGACGTATGATCATAGTTGTGGGCAGTTTCATTTTACAGTTTCATTTTTTATTTGAATGTTTTAATTAAAACAGTTTAAATGCACAGGAATGTGATAGACAAGAGAAAAACAAAAATATCTGGGTTTGTATGAGTTCTTTGAAGGTCTAAATGAAAATATATGTGTTTCTACTGGAAAGGTAACTGGGTAAAAGTAATCAAAGTCAATAATACTCGAGTACGGCACAGATCTTTCATAATAATGTATAATCTATAAATTTAGTAATGATGTAGAAATACTTTAGTACTTTCTAGCCCTGTTAAAAACAGGAAAGACAGCAACCGTGCAGCGCTGTGACTCTCCATATCTGGATTCTACACACATGCCTGCAAATCCAGCTTAGACACTGTGTGTTGTGTTTGTTTTAATAAATGTCCAGCACTACTACAGGCAATCTACTCTGTCAAAAAGGTCCTGACAGAGGTAATGGTTCATTTCTAAAAACTTAAAAGCTTTTTTTTTGGTTACTGAAGTGAAGATTAGGGTTATATTTAAGAAATTCTTATTACATATAGATACTTACAAATCGCTGCTGTCAGAACTAAAAACAAAACAAAATAAAAGCCGTTTTTCAGTTTTTGACATAATTAAAAAAATGTCTGTAGCCCTTCACATTGTGTGAGATTAAGAGACCCTTATTAGTCCCACAACAGGGAAAGTTCACCTCCTATCTATGCAGTGAAACACCACGTACACACTAGTGGGCAGTGAGCAGCCCTATCCACAGCGCCCAGGGAGCAGTTGGGTGTTAGGTACTTTGCTCAAGGGCGCTTCAGTCAGGTACTGTCGGCTCAGGGGATTGAACCAGCGACCTTCCGGTCACAGAGCTGGTTCCCTAACCTCCAGTCCACGACTGCCCCCTCGCAGATGGGTCCTAGCAGAGGATGGTTTATTTGTTTCTTTATTTGTCTCATCACTTTCTTATTGCTGTTAAAGTCTTTTATTATTTGTTATTCTCTAAATGATGAATAGACCAAAAGAAATGGAACAATATTGCTTAGAAAAAAGTCTGGTTCCATCGACTTACATTACAAATAAAGTTTTTTTTTTTCTTCTCTTGTAAAGTTATCATTTTGGAGATATGAGGTTTTGTTCCGACAACAGTCATATGCAAAAGTTTGAACATCTCCCGTCAATTTACGTATCTTAAATATGATATTTTTAAGTTAAACATATTGGAAGAAAAACATAACATATAAAAATATACAAATGCAGTAAATGTGTATTAAAATGTGCAGAACTGTGTTCTTTGTAGACGATGTTCACCTAGAAAATCCTGACATCCTGACAAAGAATGAAAACAAAGAATTTTTGTGTTTGTCGTACAGAGAATCGTGGGTTCGGACATTGCTGAGCTGCTGGTGCGGGGCAGCGAGTCTTCACGTGGAGTGTGTGAAGGGGACGGTGAGCGGTCAGACATTGCGAGCCTGATTGATCTGAGCGAAACTCCGACTCAAGAAATGGAAAGACTGAACACTTCAGACCTGCTGACCGGAAACCCCCTCACTGAGGAACAGACCTCTGAACAAAACCTTCAGAACTACACCAAACTCCTGCTGGCTGGCAGGAAAAAGGTCACTGCTCTCTCTGTCCTGTCTCTCTCTCTGTACCGTCTCTCTCTCTGTCCTGTCTCTCTCTCTGTACCGTCTCTCTCTGTGTTCTGTCTCTCTCTCTGTCCTGTCTCTCTCTCTGTACTGTCTCTTTCTCTGTCCTGTCTCTCTCTCTGTACCATCTCTCTCTCTGTCCTGTCTCTCTCTCTGTACTCTCTCTCTCTCTGTACTGTCTCTTTCTCTGTCCTGCCTCTCTCTCTGTCCCGTCTCTTTCTCTATCCTGTCTCTCTCTGTACTGTCTCTTTGTCTGTCCTGCCTCTCTCTCTGTCCCGTCTCTTTCTCTGTCCTGTCTCTTTCTCTGTCCTGTCTCTCCTTCTGTACTGTCTCTCTCTCTGTCCTGTTTCTCTCTCTGTACTGTCTCTTTGTCTGTCCTGTCTCTCTCTCTGTACCATCTCTTTCTGTACCATCTCTTTCTCTGTCCTGTCTCTCTCTTTACCATCTCTTTCTCTGTCCTGTCTCTCTCTGTACCTTCTCTCTCTGTACCTTCTCTCTCTCTGTCCTGTTTCTCTCTCTGTACTGTCTCTTTCTCTGTCCTGTCTCTCTCTGTACCTTCTCTCTCTGTCCTGTCTCTCTCTCTGTCCCGTCTCTTTCTCTGTCCTGTCTCTCTCTGTACCGTCTCTCTCTCTGTCCTGTCTCTCTCTGTACCGTCTCTCTCTCTGTCCTGTCTCTCTCTGTACCGTCTCTCTCTCTGTCCTGTCTCTCTCTCTCTGTACCTTCTCTCTCTCTGTCCTGTTTCTCTCTCTGTACTGTCTCTTTCTCTGTCCTGTCTCTCTCTGTACCTTCTCTCTCTGTCCCGTCTCTTTCTCTGTCCTGTCTCTCTCTGTCCTGTCTCTCTCTGTACCGTCTCTCTCTCTGTCCTCTCTGTTTTTTTATCTCTCTCTATCTTTCTATTAGTTTTGTGATTCTTCTCATCACTTTCTTATTGCTGTTTTATTGCTGTTAAAACCTTTTATTATTCATTATTCTCTGAATATTTTTATCTCTCTTGTCTTTATCTTGTTTGCATGTGGTACATGTTATAGAATCACTACAATTACTATTATACTATCATACAATTATATGGGCAAAATTACAGTCAGCCAAGACATGTTTGGTGTCTAAAGTTTCTTTAGTTTTAGGCTGGAGCTACGAGGCTAATATAACTAAATGAAACGTATAGTTCACCAATTAGCATTGTGTCACATGCATATCTAAACCACACACTTGCACTAAACTGCATTTATTTGTTAAGTAAACTCAAATAGACTTGCTTATGGGGTTTCCGACACTGTATGATGTACTGTTATCTATAGAAATGGACAAAAGTACATAGTAGTAGAGCTAAAAACAATAATAACCGCCATCTTGAAGCCTGATATTTGTCCATACTCATGTCAGTTTTTGTAGATAACAGAACATCATACAATGTCAAGATGTTGTGCAGCTGTAGTGCAAAAGTAAATAAGGAATGTATTTTTGCTAAAAGACTATTCCTTTAAATCCTTGACTCAGACTGAGTGAATGCTAGCCTGGCTTTATGAGGTGAAACTTTCATGCAATTAGTTGCATGTTGTGAGTTGCATGTAACTCATTTTCTGTGCTACTTGACAGTTACACGAAGCAACTCAGAAACCAAGTTGCACACAACACATCCCATTTACATCTGCATATTTGCACCATTATTATCGTCTTTGCATAATTTCACCAGCTGTTGTTGCCATTCCTTGCTCTATATCTGTATATGACTTCTATCTATATATCTGTCTATTGTTTTTTGCTATATTAGAGGTCACTAATAGGCGGACTGCAGTCCGAGTCCGGACCCAGATGCTGTCCTATGTGGACCTGGACCTATAACTGATAAACTATGGAGGATTATTTAATTTCGACGGGGTGGTCCTGTTTTAATCAGCGTATGATTTCTAGTCATTACAGTACCGGTTTAGCGGCCCGGGACACTCAGACCAACCGCATGCATTGTAAATATCATGTGACGCTACTCAGCCAATCAGATCTGTCCATTACGATGAGCACTGAGACTGGACTGAGTGACACACACAGGGGAGGGATGAGGCAAGAAACAGCAGTCGGAGAAGAAAGTGAGCCAGATTATTTTAAAAAGAGAAAACTGACAATAAATGTTGCTGAAATATGACTGAATTGTACTTTATTTGATTTTACATTCAGTAAGATGTTGATATATCTACTAGGCTACTTCAGTAAACAGTATATGGCACTGAATCATGATGCAAGTTAGACACTATGATGTTCCGGACTTTTGCTTGAGGATATTTTCTTTAACTGGACCTTATTAAATTTTAATTAGAGACCCCTGTACTATATGTTTGAGTTTTATCTCTGTTCTGTTTATGTTAAGCCTTTGAAAATTAATATTTACGTAGCCATTATGGGACCTATTGCTTCTCTCATGTCCTAGACACACTACAAGTTCATCAAGGAGCGACTCTCACCCTCTTCTTCTCAAAAGAATCTGCTTTCTGTGTAAAATTGGGAATGTAATTGGCAAAGCAGCCATTTGAACAGTTGTTAGCGTTAATGGCCAGTGAAGTCAGCTGGTTACAGAAACATTAGCTTCGAGAAACTTGTGTTTGTTTGTTGTGGCTCAAGAAACTGACAAAATGAAAAACCTTGCATCAGGTTAATCTGGAGGATCTCATTTCTAGGTGTCCAGTGAGCCAACGTCTGTATTCATTTCTTATCGATGAATGAAGTGAAATCAATCGTTTGAAATCGTTTGGCGTGGTCTGCATTTTGATTGGCTGTTTCATGAAACTTTTCCAAAAGGTTGAATCAAGTGCAACTGTTGCAGCTGAGTTACACCCTTTACATAGTGCAAGTTTTAAAGCAAGTAAAGTTGCATGTAAGTTTCACCATGTAAAGCCAGTCTTACAGCTCACCTATCAGAAACACTGTCTAATTCTTGGACTATTCTCTCCTCAATTCACCTTTCTCTTGTTAGGAAGCGTTGGAGTTGGCCATGCGGAGCGGCCTGTGGGGTCACGCCCTCTTTCTGGCCAGCAAGATGGACGGCAGGGCCTATACCACAGTTCTGAGCAGGTGTGTGGAAAAATAGCACTGCTCAATTGATTTTAACCATGCACACAATGCTTATTTGTATAAGACATACAATAATTTGTCTTCAGCTTGCATTGATTTGAAGATATTGGTCATTGTTTTACAGCGTTTCATTCTTTTGTTTCATGGCAGTCACTTAAACTAGCCTGCGGCTCTTTCCAAGGGTACACTGTCCTTTAATTCAGGGGTGTCAAACTCAACAACTAACAGGGCCATATTAAAAAATCTTAGCGAATCCATAACCAGATGTATTTTTATTGCATTTTTACCACGACCCAAATGGGCCATTGTTTATTCAAAATATGCCAAAACTTGGCAGGTTTTACAGCCATCAGGAAAACTGTCTAGCACCTTTGGATCATCCCACAACTTTCAGCCATGAAATTCTGGATATCTAGTTTTCAAAATATAGTTCAGATGGAATAACTTACAGCTTAACAAGGCAAAAGAGTCAACAATAAGAAACTGGGAGAATTTATACAACTCTATTCAAGAACTTTAGTTTCCAGTTAAATTATGTGATGTTGTTTAGTTGTGTAGTTGTTTATATATTGTCTTTGCTTTATTTTTGATTTGTGTGTATTCCTAAAAGGTATGTCACCATCCTGCCTTCCCCTCCCCCTTACCTCTCCCCACCCTTGTTGTGAAACATGATGAAAAATGCAATAAAAAGTTGATCACAAAAAATTATGCCAAAAATGCAACTACAAAATAGGCATTGGATGCTTATAATAATCTTCTTTTTGAGTAACTGCTGGCCCTTAGATTGTTGTTGGGGGTCAGAAGGTACACTATGTTGCAGTGCATGCTGGGGACTGTAGTGCAGCTCAGGGTGAAATGGGCTAGTAAGAATAGAAAATTAAAACAATTTTGCGGGCCGAATAGGACTGTGTCACAGGCTTGGACTTGGACTTGGCCCGCGGGCCTTGTGTTTGACACATGGACTTTAATTAATCTGCTATCAAACTTTCATGCCCAGAATGTGTCGGATTATACATTCATACAAAGAAAGTGAAATACATCCTGTGATGTAAATACAGCTTGTTTTAGTAACGGGAGAGTTTCATGTGCGGTGGCACATTTCGCAGGCCGTTAACACCGCGGCAGTGGAGGAGATCAGATGTCCAGTGTGCGAACTTGCTAGTCGAACCGTTCGTAGGTCAGAGCTAAATCAGTCTCTTTTCCAGCCTTCTCCATTTCCACACAGACATGTACATCTGCTGCTGAACCGACTCGAGTGGAATCGGATTGGTTTTGGCTTCCCTGCATGGTCAGTAGGATCCAAAACCGTCTGATTGACAGCGCTAAATTCCCACCGACTATTTAAAGGAACATGGTCAGTCAGATATTTCCCAAACTGAAAGTCAAAAATCAACAAATAACTAAATACAAAACTACATCACTCTACTTGGAGGTTGTTTGATATACATATCAGTACACTGTAAAACATTTTACTGCATTAACAGTAAATTACTGGCTTCTACATTGCTTTCACAGTAATTTACTGCACCATATTAACAGAAAATAGCAGCAAAATAGCAGCTTTATATTGTTACTTGAGAATCGCAAATAAAAACATGATCAGGTAACATACTTATTTTCAATGTTTTGCGCTGTATATGCACAATATCTCACGTTTTTAAGTGCAAATATACATTTTACAGATAGAAACTCACATCTAGCAATACCAATAATACAATTTAAACAATAAAAAAACAAAAAACACTCCAAATTTAAAAATGATTTAAAACACTAAAAACCTGAATCGTCAGCTTAAAAACACTTTTTTTAATATTTACACCATTTTATATCTTAGTTGTGGTCACCAATCACAATGTTTCTTACTATTTGCTGTGAATATCTTCACCAGTCACGGTTCCAAATGAGCCTTTCTGTTCTGTTTTTTTAACGGAATTGGACAAAAGTCAATTTTGGTCAAAGCGTTACAGGCTAATCTTCAACCATATGACTTTATTGACTTGTCGACGTGTTTTTAATATGCTAAAAGTCACAGTCACAGTATGTATGAACCAGTACTTTGTCCCTGCTGTCTCAGTATCCAGGCAATGCATGTACAATGGAATATATATATATATATATATATATATATATATATATATATATATATATATTAGCCTCACTATCAGACTCTGTCCTGCTCTACATCTCATTTATCAAAGCTGGACCTTGTTTAAAGTGACCCAGCTGGGAAACTAAGCATTATGGAGCAGCCTTCCCTGTGATCAACACAGCACAACGTAACCCGATATGTACAGAATCTCAATCCGGCAAGCGCAGTACTGGGTGTACTCCGTGTGGGTCAGAGTAACGTGGGACAGGGGAACCTGAGTCTAGAGGCTGAGCGTTTATTTTTGGATATAGCATGGAATCGTATGCCGTTTGCATGTGTTGCAGATTGTGTGCGTGTGCTTTCCGATACTGAGTCAGCTATAGTTTTTTTTTGTTTAATGTCTTGGTGTCTCTCTGTCTGTGGTTTTACTGCTGGTGCCAACCTCTGTAAGGACTGTAGGGCTTCCCACATAGTGCTGTCACATCTGTAGGCCAGTGTGGAACTGAACCAAGTCCAGCTCTGTAATATTTAGCAGATAATAGAGATACTGAACTGAGTTACAGTCATCTGTTCTTTTATTGTAGTTGATGGCTCTCAAGCTATCTGCTTTGAGAACTGATAGATAGATTGCTAGCTTAGTAGTCGTAGAAGTTTGGGCGCCCCTGGTCAAATTACGTTTTGCTGATTTTCTAAGTAAAATTAACCCTCTATTGCACAATGTTGCCTCAGGGCAACAAATTCATTCTCCTCACTTTACAATAGCTTTATACATATTTAAAGACAATTATAGGGTTAACAACAAAGGGAAGAGTTTGAGTGAGTCAATAAAAAGCATGTACTTGGTCATATCATCCCTAAGTGGGCACATTTAAACCTAGTTTTCAACATTCAGTTAAACTTATTTTGTTATAAGTATTTGCAGAAATATGTTTGTTGCCTAGAAGCAACGACAGTGAAATGGATTTAGCCAGTCACAAGCAAGGTCTCACCGCTTCAGAGAACACAGCTCTGTATCATTTCTTCCCATTGTCTCACAACGTTGCCTGAAGGCAGCATACTCCTAAAGGACCCCTGCACAAAATTTTTAAAATGTTTTTGAATTTAATAATCAGGACAGATTATTAATAAGCATTATTTATAAATGTATAATTATGTAATTCAATAATCAAGGACCATTTTATGCAAGAAAAGTGAATGCGAGAAACGGGAATGCAAGAAAGTGACGTTTTTAAATTGCTCTCATGCTTCATGCAGTAGAGGGTTAAGTAAACACACTTCTGCATATTGTAACGCACAATAAAACATCATCTGTAGTCTGTGTTAAAGTTTTGGCTCATTTTATATTTGATTTTTCCCAATATGACAAACTCAACAAATAAATAGAAAATGTGCACTATGGTTTGTTCCCTGCAAAGAATACACACTTATTTTCACCTAGAAAATCAATACAACGTGTAACTTAACTGGGGATGTTCAAACTTTTGCATACAAACATGTTTAAATGGGTTTGTGTGAGCAAACGTCGAGCTACATATGTGTGCATGTGTGATTGACAGGTTTACAGGCAGTCTGGCACCCAGTGATCCGCTACAAACACTCTTCCAGTTGCTCTCTGGCAGGATCCCAACTGTTGCCACGGTAATGTACCACGCTCACTCTACAGTAATGTAGTAGCAGATGCTTACAACCTAACCTAACATCACCTTTCTTCTCTTCTCTTCTCTTCTCTTCTCTTCTCTTCTCTTCTCTTCTCTTCTCTTCTCTTCCCTCTTTATCGTTTCTTTACCTCTCTTCTCTTCTTTTCTCTTCTCTTCTCTTCCCTCTTTATCCCTTCTTCTCTTCTTCACTTCTCTTCTCTTCTTTTCTCTCTTTATCGTTTCTTTACTTCTCTTCTCTTCTCTTGCCTCTTTATCCCTTCTTCTCTTCTCTTCTCTTCTCTTTTTCACTTGTCTTTTTTATCTTCTCTTTTTCACTTGTCTTTTTTTTCTTCTCTTCTTCTCTTCTCTTTTTCACTTGTCTTTTTTCTCTTCTCTTCTCTTTTTCACTTGTCTTTTTTCTCTTCTCTTTTTCACTTCTTCTCTTCTTCTCTTCTCTTCTCTTTTTCACTTGTCTTTTTTCTCTTCTGTTCTCTGCTCTTCTCTTCTCCTCTTCTCTTCTCTTCCCTCTTTATCGTTTATTTACCTCTCTTCTCTTCTTTTCTCTTCTCTTCTCTTCCCTCTTTATCCCTTCTTCTCTTCTTCACTTCTCTTCTCTTCTTCACTTCTCTTCTCTTCTTTTCTCTCTTTATCGTTTCTTTACTTCTCTTCTCTTCTTTTCTCTTCTCTTCTCTTCCCTCTTTATCCCTTCTTCTCTTCTCTTCTCTTCTCTTCTCTCCTCTTTTTCACTTGTCTTTTTTCTCTTCTCTTCTCTTTTTCACTTGTCTTTTTTCTCTTCTCTTCTCTTTTTCACTTGTTTTTTTACTCTTCTCTTCACTTCTCTTCTTCTCTTCTCTTTTTCACTTGTCTTTTTTCTCTTCTCTTCTTATTTTCTTCTCTTCTCTTCTCTTCTTCTCTTCTCCTCTTCTCTTCTTCTCTTCTCTTTTTCACTTGTCTTTTTTTCTCTTCTCTTCTCTTCTCTTCTCTGCAGTGCTATAGTAGAGAAAAGTGGGGAGACTGGAGGCCTCATCTAGCTGTCATGCTGTCCAATGAGACTGAAGACTCTGATATGCACTGCAAGTCCATCGTTTGTATGGGTGATATGTTAGGTATGAAATACAAATGTATCTTTTTCACAGATCAAAGGACCCTTTTATGTCCTTCTGCTCACTTCCACATTTAGGATACAGAGTCAGAAGACTTGGACATGAAGGAATAGTTCAGTGGAAAACTCTTTTTGACTCTGCAACATATTACTGTCAATATTTATAAACAACAGTATGTCACACAGTGACAGAAACCACATTGACAGGTATATTAGAGGTTGCTCAATAACTCATTGTTTACATTGTTTAGGGTGTATGTGATGAACTAAAGACGCAAATTTCAGACACCAAACATGTCTTGACTAATTGACTACATGTGGGGTGACGGGAGAAAATGGTGATTTGTTTTGCTGAACTATCACTTTAATTTAGGACTCATGGCCAACTACTCATGCTGCGGTTGTGTTTGTGTTTTCCCTGCCAGCCTCCAGAGGCCTGCTGCATGCAGCTCATATCTGCTACCTCACAGCTCACTCCCCCTTTGGCTGGTACACAAACAAGGCCCAACGTTTGGTGCTTCTGGGCAGCAGTCATAGGTAAGAGTTGCAAATGGGAGACATAGGCAGCAGCACGTAGGTGCTGAGTCGCTGTGTTGAGGATTTATTGAGAGTCAAGGTCAAACATAAAGACAGGCAGCATAATTGAAGATAAATCTTGTTGTGCTTAAAGAAAGATGTTTTCCTTAGGTCCTTCATTAGGTGGTGGCACCCACATTTCCGGAAAAATCTGCTTTGGGCCATTATGTTTCATAAAAATGCAGTACAAATTAAATCAAACTGAATCAAATGTTTATACCAGGCACAAGAAAAACTGGAAGGTCAGGAAATTCATTTGAAATTTAACAGGTATGTTTTTCTTGTTTTCACGATTCATTTCAGTGTTTCCTTTCCAAAGTTCTGCCAGAATTCGGTGATCCGCTGCACTGAAGTGTTTGAATACTGCCAGAGGCTTGGAGACCCGTCTTTCACAATCCCTTCTTTTCAGGTGAAACTTTTTACATCTTATTCCCCAGTTTGGCAATCTTAGTAATGTGTCCACTCAAAGTATTAGATACAGTGATGCTAGGAAGTTTATGAACCCTTACAATTCAGATTTTTTAACAAACCCAATTCCAAAAACGTTGCCACGGTGTTAAATAAGTGAATTCTTTTTGATCTGTATTAAACTGAAAACGGTACAAAACCAGAATATTTTATGGTGTAGCTGATAAACCACATTGTTTTTATAAATATACATTCATTCCTAATTTAATGCCTGCAACACGTTCCAAAAAAGTTGGGAGAGAAGTTTTAAATTTAAAAAGTTTTAAATTTTAACTTAAAAAATGCACCACATGCTGTTAGTGGGACAGGTCTGGACTGCAGGCAGGTCAGTCTAGCTCCCGCACTCTCCGAATACACAGACATACATGTGCAAAATAAGGCTTACCATTGTTGTGTTGAAATAAACATGGACATCTCTGAGAAATATGCCATCTAGACTGTTAGAAATAAAGGTTCTGTTCAGGTACATTTGTCGTTCATCAAGGTACAAACAGTGTAAATGTTCCCTCAAAGGTCCAACAGTGGTTTTAAGGTCTGATTGTGAACCTTAAATAAGTTTTTCCAGGTGAAAAGTTCGTATTTGTACCTTTTCTTAACTGAATGTTTTAAAACAGAACAGTAAAATAAAAGCCTGGCGACGAGACGGGGTGTGTGGAGTCAGTACAGCTTAGAACATATCATTTCAGTGGATTATGGTTCAGTTATGCTTCTTTTATACATTATAGCATCAGTTCACAAAAAATCAGTGCAAAGAGTTTTCAAGAACCTCAGTGTGTGTACAGTATTAGACGCTATTCAAGCTGGATTATTTTTACCAGGTGAAACTAAAACAAGTAATAAGTCTGTGTAGTTTTTACAGTCTGACAGTAATAAGTGTGGCGTGAACGTTCCTGTGTAATTGGCTGAATATGGAGCTCCCTCAGGCTCAAACCTGATGTTTTGCTCAAATCCGATCTCTCTGACGCGATGGTTCACACTCGGTTAGGTAAGTGACTCAAATCTGTCATTAATGTGACGAACCGGCGTCCTGAAATGACCCTCATGAGCTCATCCTACTCAGTAACGTCACATGAATGAATCACGTTCATCATCAGCACAAACTAACGAGCAGAACGAGCTTCGCTGAGAAGATAATTAACTCTGATCAGCTCTCAGCTTCATTATTAGAGTGAGACGGAGGAGAAAAAGGAGAGATGAGCTGCTTTTCCACCGTTTACAGGCTTCAACTTCTGTTCGGCGCTGCTGCCATGGTAACGCTGAATGATGGCGCAGTGCAGTGGAAAAAAAGCACATGAATTCTGATCTGAGCATCACATTAAGGTCACATGGCCACGAATCGGATACGTATCCGATCTAGGACCACATATGAAAGTGTCTCAGGTCAGATTTGAAAAGATCAGATTTGTGTCCACACAGCCCTGAAAACATCAGATCTGAGTCACATCAGGGCAAAAAATCAGATTTGTGCCACTTCAGCCTGGTAATGTGAACGTAGCCTCAGTAACTCAGTAATAATAGTCCCGTTCCAATCCACCTCACACTAACAGAATAATCAAAGCTGCTAACAGACACAAATGTGTTGTTATTGTTATTGATTATACATCGGGGCCATGATATTTCCATCTGGGGGGTCTTTGGGAATCCTGAAGTGATTTGCCAGTCAAATCCCAAAAATTAATTTACAAATTGTTTTGATTTATATGGGAAGAAGTCCAGCCCCTGTGGTTTTATGTTTGGATGTCTAACATCTGCAAGATCTAGGTTTTCTTTGGATTTCTCAGTGCTGTCAGTAAGTTGGTTACTGTTCACCGTATCTTGCTAAACTGTGATTTGTACAGTGTGTTTGTCTGAGTGTGTTAATGCAGCTGTGCTGTGTTTTACTGTGCAGGTGTATAAGTTCCTGTATGCCTGTCGGCTGCTGGACTGTGGTTTAGCCTCACAGGCCTTTCATTACTGTGAGGTCGTAGCAAAATCTCTGCTCAGGATACAGGAGCCACATGTAATACTGCTAGGGGAGGTTATCAAGGTAACACACACACACACACACACACACACACACACTCACACAGAATCATAAACACCACCAAACACTACTTATCCACAAAAACTATTTTAACAACCATATCCATATGTTTTTTTTTGTGTGTGTGTGTGTGAATGTGTGTGTGTGTGCTGTGCGACAGTTAATAGACAGACTTAAACACTCAGAAGCTCAGTTCAGTGAGACAGGAGCTGATCTGACCTGGCTAGACCTGCTGCGACGGCGGCTCCAGGACATACAGGTGAACACATATCAGAGTTATGATGTTTTTTTGCATTTTCATTAGTTTTTATTTTCATTTAGTTTTTCATTTTGGCTTTTGATTTTAGTTTAGTTTGAGTTCGTTTTAAGGGTTTATTTATAGTTTCAGTTTTTATTTTCTAAAAAGTGTTTTTTTTTTATACAGTTTTTATTTAGTTTCAGTTTTAGTCCTATTCTTTAGTATTATAATAAACACTGTGATATCAAGTATTTGATAAGGGTAGAATAAACACAAACAGTAGACTGAGCTCAGCTTGACTCCAGCTTTCCTTAGAGAACAAAAACAGAAGGGATCTGCTTCTAAACTCTCATTCACGCACGGAAAAAACAAAAACTAAAGCTTTTTTCCTAGTAATTCTATTTTGTTTTAGTAAGTTTTGCTGTGGGCATTATTGTTTTGATTTAGGGTCATTCTACAGAAACGTCATTGGTCTTACACATAATAAAGGAACACCAGAGACATTTTTAATGAAAAATGTGTTTTACAGAATAAATGCTACAGAGCATCAAACCACATGTTGTCAATCATGGAATATCCACTAAAATATGGAATTTAATCCATTTGTGTTCTATTTTTTCACAATTACCTCAGAATAAATTCGGTCACACTGGTGACTTCAGCTAAAAGCTTCATATGAAATCATGAGCTAAATGAGAAAATCTCTGATAACTGAAAGACACAGTGGACTCACCGTGTGCTTTTCTTCATAGATCCTCAGAAAACAGGTAAAAGGAAGTCGAGTGATGTCATCAGTGTGACTTTTATTTCAAAATAAGAGATTTTTGTTATGCAGTAACACCAGTGACACGACTCCTGGGGACAACAGCTGTCATTATATATTTTATAATAATTATTTGGCATTTTTTTCTTTATGTCATTTAAATCATATATTTCATAGTCATGTTCAGATTATTACAGTAAAAATAGCAGAAAACGTGTTTTTTTTACCTCAAAATATGGCCTCAGCCTTTACACATGACTGTGGGGACGAGCTCTTCTGTGGTGCTTGGAATTCTATATGATTGATTTAAAAACCAATATTGCTAAATTGAGGCTCAAGAAGGTGAAATTATTAAAATAACTTTTTGTTCAAAGTTATATTTATGGGAATAAATGCACACCAGCAATGTCCAAAACACTCAGATATATATTTATGGCTATGTTTAATAGGTTTGTGAATCCCAGACACACTTGGAAACAAGCCATTTGGAAATTTATGAACAACTATGTCCCCCCCCACCCCCCTCTCTTCACTTTAGCACACCCAATTCCTTCCATGAATGAGTGCCATTTAGTGCAGTGTGTGAGTGACAAAAAGCTACCGTGTCTTTCAGGCTGAAATATGAAGGGCTTCCTTCCAAAATGCTGTAAATCCACATAATTTTATTTTTCTAATAAAGGTGATATTCATCATAATATAGCATTGACATTTCTTGTATGTGTAAAACCCATTTTTATCATGAAAAAAAATTTGAAAGTCATCTGTAATGCATTTTGGAACAAAACCCTAAAATGTTATCATAAACATAGTGCATGAAAAACGTTTTAATGCAAGTGAAAAAAGTATGTTCTTCTTTATATGTTTTTATGAATATGAGCATTTTTACACATTTTATGTCCTTATAGAGTCACTAAAATTCCATCTTAAATATTGCTAAATAAAAGTTTTTGTTTTAACTTTAAAGCTAATATTCATTTCATCTTGTGGTTAATCTGAAAAACTTTAAAAGCAAGTTGATTTGTGTAGTGTGAGTAAAGTGCGTGTCTGTGTTTGTAAAGCTTTCACATTTCCTAATAAAGCATGTGCATCTGCAGATGGGGAACTCTGGCTGTAGTGGTGCGTATCTGTCAGCAGCTGAAGACAGTGCTTGGACTCATGAGGAGAGCAGAGAGCATGCAGGTAAATTCATGTCCGGATTACCCCAGTTACACACTGTGTTTCCTTATCATCCACTAGGAGGCAGTAGGTCTTTTCATTATTCTAATCTTGGGGAAATGGTGGGACGCTGATCTCTGAGCAGGTTGAAGCAGACATGTTTATTAACGTAGCTTTACACAGTCATACTGATCAATTTTCTTATATACTTAAAAGGAAAAATTTTGTTCAAAATTTCTAAATAATTTAATGGTTAAGATGTAAACAAAGTCATTCAGACTGGTTTGGTGTGAAATGTTCCATTCTAGAGAAACTTACTGGCTTGAATCGTTTACAGTGGTGATAGGAACCAGACGTCTGAAGTGTTTAATGCCTCTAAAACCCTCACTGAAAAGTTTTATGGTAGCTTTAAGATGAAGGTTTTGAACTAAAACATATTTCCTAAAATACATTGGTACATGCAGGGCTATGGAACTTATTCCTACGGATTTAACACTATTTTACTGTTATCAACATTACATATAAACACTTAAAGACACATGTAAGGTCCACTAATTGTTTTGGATAGTAAAAAAAACTCTGTATTTGCATTGTACACATCACGACCCCTGATTACTTTTGAGTCCTAAAACAATAAGAAGTTTGCAAACAACTGCACACCCCCTATAACAGGGGTGTCAGACTCAACCACTACAAGAGCCATATTAAAAAATCTCAGCAGATCTGTGGGCCAGCTGTGTTTTTATTTCATTTTTACTCAACAAATATGCCAAAACTGCAACAGCAAAATAGGCATTAAATACTTATACATATTCAAAAATAATTCTAATTAAGCAGTAGAACACAGAGGGAGTGTGTTATCGTGAAATAACATCACAGCTGTGATTTGGTTGATGTAGATCATCACAGCCGTGATGTTATTGGTGATAACACACTCCTCGAGTGTTCTATTGCTTTTATACAACAGTTAAATTAATAAAGTAATAAATTAATAAACTGGGCCGTGAACGCGGCGTTTAATATGTTTTAATGTTCGCAGTTCCTTCAGCCAAATTATAGTTCCTTAACAAGCAGCTTGTTGCTACGTCAGAGTAACGAGCTCCGCCCACTCGCTGCACAGTCTGCTGTAAGCCTCGCCTTTTGAAGTTCAGACTGAGCCATAAAACTGCTGCAATATCAAGTTCAGCTCAGTTTTGTCAGTTTTTGCCAGATCAGTATTAATGTTGTTTTGTTCCAGCCAGTCTGTAAAGCATCTTACAGCCCATTTAGTTTGGCGAATGGTGTTGGGTTCATTTCTGGCTGATTCCAGGTTGTTCAGCTGTTCTTCTGTCTCAGCTGCCGACTGAAAAGCTGCTCAGTGGTGATGACAGTTTGGGAATTTAGTGTCGTCTCATCTTCAGAGTCTGACCAAATCGACTGTCGGTCAAATGTGATCTTAAAAGTGTCCATTTTCTGTTTGTGGCAAAGTAAGAAGTAAAAACGCTCAAATGGTTTGAGCGTCTCCTACAGCTGTCAGAGTCATTGCTTAGCAACGGCGCCTCAGCGGAGTGATACAGTGTTTGTGAAAAAAACGTGATGTTATGGTGAAATAACAGCAACGGTTAGAGACGCTTCTCAACCAATCAGCTTGTGTGGCCGGAACTAACTGTTGTATAAATAAAAATGAATTGTTTTAGGTAATTTTTAAAGCTGCCTGTTTGCTTGAACTAGACACCAGGCATCTTTTAGCAGTTAGCACTGTACAAACTGCTTTAAAACATGTCAAGGTGCTAATTAATCTCAAATATACTCAATTTTTTAGACAGTTTGCAAGATGCCAATTAGTGGGTTACTTGTTAGCTACATGGGCTCCAGTAAAAAAAGACCAAACTTCGGTAACACTTTACTGTAATGTGCTGTGCATAAGGCTACATGACAACCTACATAAGGTTGTCATTGAAACTGACTTAACCCTACATAACTGTTTTAAAAAAGCTCATTACAATAGGCGTCATCTGTCATAAAGGCTACTTTAGCTGACTTTGATCAAAATTGGCAAATGTAACTTTTATAGCGAATGACGCTTATTGGAACAAGCGTTTATAAATAGTTATGTAGGGTCATGTCAGTTGTCATGACAAGCTTATGTAGGTGTCATGTTGCCTTATGAACAGCACATCTTGGCTGATCGACATTTGGAATAAGGGTAAAATGAAATATATTTGACTTTTCACCAAGCAGTTTCCTTTAGTGTAATTATGGTTCTCTTTATAAGTCTTGGTTTTTTTATAGATTTTAACCCAGACGACTTGAGCAACAGTGAGGAGATGATCCAGCATTTCCCTCCAGACGCCAGTCACAGTGGTGCAGTACAGGAGCACTATGAGTACTATGAGTCTGCAGCTCAACAACCTCATTCCTTTATCCCTTCAGAAGAGCAGTCTTACCCCTCTTACACCTCAGAAGAACACTCTTACCCACCAGAAGCCCAACCATATGCTCCTGAAGAGCAGCTTCCCCAGACCTATGCTCCAGTTCCCATGTACTCCCTGCAGAATACTTTGGCAGCACCTCCAAGCCAGCCTTTGGGCATGCCTGGGCTTCCCCCAGTGCCTGCTGGCCAGGATGGCGCTAATCAGTCTTCATACCATCACACTGCTGCCGGTCTGATTCCAAGGAGCCGCAGTAATACAGGTCAGAACAGTAGTGGAGCTGATCGCTGTGAAATGTGTGCTTGTATGTTGGTACTATCTACAGAATGTGCAGTAGCACTGTTTTAACAGTCATTTATAGTCACTTTGTAGGTGCTTACTTTGTTTTTAAGTGACAGTTAAACAGAAACGGCCCTATTTGTCACCTTAGGCAAAATTTTCTTGCTGTTAAATACCGTCAGATGGTTTGTTCACGAGATGGTTGGTAAACAGTTTTAGCACTTGTAGGTAACCTACAGAGACAGTCCAAATATATATCATAATATGTGTCTGGATGTTCTCTCTCTGTTTACACTGGTTCATTTTGCTTGTCTTCTAAAGCCAAATGGTTTTTGTTGAGGAATTTGTACATTGGGTTTATCACAATTCATGTATGATGTGTTGAAATACTCCAGGGGTGTCCAAAGTCTGGCCCCAGGGCCAAATGTGGCCCGCAGACAGATTTTAATCGGCCCCTGGTTTCTGTTTTAGAGTGTGTTATAGGTGGCCCGCCTGCCAGTATGCTACAGTTCTTCCCTTCACCTGATGGTGGCAGTGCTGTAAGATTACAGTGTAATGCACTGCACTGCGGTAACGATGTTAGCTAGAGTTTAAGACCCTTTCTTCTCTGACTGACCTGCAGCTTAATTTACTGACCACATTTAGTCCAGACTGCGGCCATAAAGCTCAAACTAACACTGAGAACTGGAGATTTTGGTAAAACCTTAAATTGAACAAAGCCGAATTCTAGGCACTGATGCATTTCACTCTGACCAGTGTGGACATGCAAGCACCGCAACTCCACTGGTGGCAAATTTACACACATGTAGGGCATCATTGGCAAATCTTCATTTGAGACATGCTCAATTCTGGTCTTGGAGATCCTCCACCCTGCAGGGCTTAGCTCCAGTCATAATCTAGCACACCTGATCCAGGTAACGAAGATCTTCAGGCTTCAGTTGTGATAGATATGAACTCTCCATGGTGAAAGATCTCCAGGACCAGGATTGGGCAGCCTTGCTGATCATGGTTGTACTTTTTGTATATCAAAAAATTTTACATTTTGAATCATTTATGAATAAAATTTCGGCCCTCATGTGTTTTTGATATGGTCTGATGTGGCCCTCTTGGTAAGTGTGGACGCCCCTGCTGTACAGTATGTTGTGTTATTGCTGTGTTGTTTTCATGCACGTTTTTTTGCTTCTAGGTGTTGAATTCTCCACTGATACAAACATGGTAAGAACAACAGAGAACATTTTCATTTTAATTGATTATATTTTGCTTCCTGAGCTGGATCTGACTATAACACCTACTCATGTAAAATACAAATACATTTCAAATTATTTAGCTGGACATTCAGTACAAGACAGAAACTGAAATTGACTATATTGTGTTTTGTAGCATTTTCCATATAGTAGAAACAAAAATTCACAATATGTCTCTATTTTCAAGATGGAGACCCATGAAAATGGAACCACTCTTGGTGGTGACGATCTGGATACGGCTTCCCCACCTGAGGCTAATACAAAAGAAACAACCAGCCAGAAATCAGAAAAGGTCAGAGTGTCCTCATCAGATGTATGTCCAAAGATGTCCAGACACCCTTTCTAATTAGGGAATTTAGCTGTTTTAAGGTGCTCCCATTGCTGACAAACACTTACACACACATCTCCATAGAAAAGCATTGTTAATATAATCGGGGGCTTTGCAGCAGACACTCATGAGCCTAAGGCCCTTATAAAGCCCCCAGAATTGGGCTGTGAAGCAGTAGAACTGTGTTCTCTGGAGTGATAGCTTTGAGATGAGTTGGAGTGATGTTCCAGAACTAATCATCCAACATCAGTACCTGACCTCACTAATGCTCTTGTGGCTGAATGCAATCAAATCCTCACAGCAGTGTTCCAACATCTATAGTAAAGCCTTCCCAGAAGAGTAGAGGCTGTTACTGCTGCAAAGGGGAGAACAAGCTCCCTATTAATACCTTTGAATAGAGCAGGTGTCTACAAACTTTTGGACAATTATTGTTTGTTCAAATCAACTCTTTTGTGTCCCATTTTTATTTTAAACAGAGCTCCAAGTCAGGATGGTTTAGTGGATGGTTCAGGTCTAAGCCTAAAGAACCACCTCAAGAGGAAATCACGCAAGACGAACCTGCTCACATGGTAACCAGCCTGGCAACCTAAAACTGAATGTTTTGACTTTGACAGATGCTTAAAGATGGAGAATGATGCAAATATCAACTGATGCAACAGAGTAAATCTATGACAAGTCTGTTTATATTTAGTGCTATCTGACCTATGGCCTATGCGGTCATGCTGTGGACATTACTAGTGAGCACCAAGGCTGTTAACTTCTTATTCACCAGGGTATATTTTGTTTTTTCCGTCTGAAAAATGACCAAATCATAAGGCAAATTATTCAGTAACTGCATGAAATAAATGTAAATTTTTATTTTATTTATTTATTTTTTGTAAAAGCTCCCCTCAAATTAACAGAACATGTGTTTTATGATACACATATTGCTGTATGCTTACAGTTTACTGCTGAAAGCCAAAAAATGTTTAGACACTCTTTGTATTATTTTATAATAATAATGTTTACAGAGCAGATCACTGAAGAGACGCCATCTGTTTATAGTTTATAGCTCAGATTTGTGGAAAAATGGGTCGACTTTCAGTAGAAAAAAAATTGTGAGTTCAGCTTCTTTTATTATAAGGGTTTAAAATTACATCACCCATCTATTTGACTGGAAAGAAGACAGTTACAGCTCTCATACGACCCCCACCTTTAGAATGTAGCTTATGAAATATGAAAGTTATGAAGAATATGACGAAGTGCGTTTTGGAGCCACGGGTGGTCCCAAGGAGTTCAAGGATAGACACTGTGACTCATTTTGATCTGCAGTTAATCTAATTTTTACAATTTTGTTTTCACTCAGAAAGTAATACCCTGTTATGGAATATTGTTGCAGTGTTAAAGGTTATGTTATCATTTACTATGTTAATATCAATTATCTTACCTTTAGCACTGAACGCTGACAGTGTGCTACCAGCATTCTTCGTACTGAATGCTCTGTATTGGTATTGGTGTGAGGCCACAGATGAGTTTTGGAATATTTAGGATGAAGCAGCTTGTTTTCTTCTGCCCTGTATTGAAGGCCATGTAAAATTGTCTTTATTTTCTTAGGAGCCAACACCCACTCCTGCTTCCCCACCCTTGATGCCACCTATGCCTATGGCTTCACCCATTCTGGTATCGCAGCCTCAAGCAGCCGGCATCAATCCTTTCTCTAGGAGAGCTGGTAAGTTCAGCTCTACTGTGTCTGTGATTTTGCGACAGGTTAGGCACTGTGACCTGTGCCATATATATGCCTAATCGCAATCATACAGCTATTTCTAATACACTCTGAATGGTTGAGAAGCACATTGCACGTGTTGTTATATCTGATACCTGGTCGCAACAGTGGTCATTTTAAATAGCTGGAACTGCTTTATTAGTGAAAGAAATATGCGTATAGTGTAGTGGGTAATACAGCTGCCCTCAACGCAGCAGACTGAGGTTCTGTTCGATGCCCAGGCAAGCACCCCATGCTACACCAGTAAAGCTTTGTTCACACAGGAGGTAAAAGTGGCCAAAATCAGATTTTTTTCTTCATATGTGACACAGATGTGTGTCTGTGTGTCAGCGTGAACAGATAAACACACTGAATCTGACATTTTCAATTCCGATTTGAGATGCTTTCATATGTGGCACTGAAATCCGATCCGTATCCGATCTGCAATGCCACTCAATCTGAACAGCCAGATCGGAATTCATGCGACTTTTATGTCAATCCAACTCAGCATTCATCATCATTTCGCACTGCTGAGACTCATAAACATTTTGATGATATTTCTGTACAAAATTAGAAGAGACTCATCCAAAACCCTCTGTGTTCGAAGAGATTTTGAAAGAAATGTCCGAACGCGGCCGCAGGAGAACGAGGCTGCAGCGTCAAAGAGCAGTTAAAAGTCCGAAAGCAAAGTTTAAAGAATCCGAGGACGCGAACCAAAGAAGTGACCGCGCCCTTTTTACGGCTCGAACACATTCTGGGTGATGAGCCCAGCTGTCAGTCAGTGAAGCTTCATGATGGCTCCTGTGATGCTGGTGAAGATGAAGCTGATCCTCCGGGAGCGACTGGCGTTCGTTGGCAGTCGTGATTGTTTACCTCTGGATGAGCCGTGAAGCAGCGTGACGCTGTTCTTTTGCACATGTGGGCCAAGGAGTTTTGGGAAATGGAGTCCTTGTGTGAATCGAATAGGTGTCATGCTACCTGGTTCCCCTGAAGTCTTTCACAAACCTGTAAACTCCAACTCCTATAATGCATCTGGTTCCGACATCACTGTCACAGACTTGTCATCTCCAAAATGGTAACTTTACAGGAGAAGGAAAAAACATACTTTACTTTTAATGTAAGTCAATGGAACCAGAAATTTTTCCAAGTCATTTTTGGCCGGTTCTTTTGGTCCATTCTTCATGACATTTACACACAATGTAAAGTGCGTCAGGCACTTTTTAATTATGTCAAAAACTGAAAACAAAAAAATGGAGATACAAGGTTTTCTTCTGACAGCAGCGAGATATCAGTTAATTTCTGTCGTTTTTGGCCCTCGTTTGCTCTGTCAGAGTTTCCTTTGTACTTTGACGGTTTTGTACTTGATTGTTTATGGACTCTGATCTCGGTGTCCTGATGTACCTGTTAATTGCTCTCTCAGTTCTGTCCTGGCCTGGATTACTGACCACTCCCTTGTTTTGCCCTATTGTAAATAAAGCGCACTCATTTTACTTCCACAAGCATCTGGTTTGTCAGCCTAACGTGACACAAGGCATTTCTAAAAATGACACCAAGGTTTAATGTTATTGCCTTAAAAGTTCTGTTTGTGTTCTCGTGTTTGTTGTCCTTTTTAGAAATGGCAAAAAATTCTAAAATTGAATATTTTTAGGAAAGACTCCTTTGCTTTTCGCCAGTCTCACAATACGCCATGACACGGCTTTATTATTTTCAGAAAACTTTTCTGCTATTGATTTTTATGAACTGATTGATGTTTTAGGTATTGGCCTTAATTTAAACGTGTCATTTGTTTCACGAGCCTGTAGAGGGCTGAGACAGCAAACTCCCCTCTTACTAGTCCTGTAATAGATTTACCATTGATTTTTACGTTAATCTTGTTTTTCTTTTACTTCAGGACAAAAGCCAGGTGCTACTTCTGGGTCCATGACACAGGTAATTTTCCTCGACATGTAAATCATATACACCTGCACCCTACACTGAACAAAACAAATAGTTGTATGAACTTAATTTAATTATGTCACGCCTTTGCACTCAGTTAAAACAGGGAGACCATAGACTTTGTTACCTTAACATAAAATGCAGTTTATTTCTAGTTAACAGATTTTATTTAATTTTTCATTATATTATGAACCCGTATGAAGCCCAAAGCATACATTACTGTGCAAAAGTCAGAGACCACCCTTCACTTATTTAATTTCCAATCCGAATGGCGAGTAAGTACAAGTTATTCATTTTTTAGATGATGTTTCTTTGAGAGAGAGGAGTGAATCAAGCTCCGCTCTTGATTCAGGTCTGAAAAAATCCACAGGTTTACTACTGTGAAGGATGGACAGAAACATCCTGAGAAGTGTGGTGAGAAGACAGCTCAACACTATGGGTCTGAAATAATGTGCAGCTGTCAAGAAGCTGTTAGTGAGAACTTGTTTCAATTTGGACGTTGATGGGCGACTGACTGACGTCATAATTTAAGAATTAAAATAGCACCAATACTTTTTTTAACAGCACAGAGCAGCAGAAGTGAATGAGAGTGAGTTTGTGATTTGGCTGCAGAATGCGAACTAAGTGATGTCACACATAATAATATTTCACGTTTTTCTCAAAAACGGTACCAGCATAAACAAATATATATATATATATATATATATATATATATATATATATATATATATATATATATATATATATTAATTTCATTTCTAGTCATTTGGCGTGTCAACTTCATGGAGGTTAGAATCCAGACCTCAGCATCACTGATTGTGTTTGGGATTACTTGGATTGCGAGACACAAAAAATGCAACCAACTTCTAAGACCGAACCTTGGAGGGGTGGAGAAATATCCATGCAGATATCTTAGAAGAATGAAAGCAGGTCTTCTGAAAGGAATGAAGCTGTAATAAAGGCAAAAAGTGGGCACACTAAATACAGAAAAAAATCTATGTAGTTACTGAGGCTTCTGAGTAATTTATTTCTTACATATATAGTCACTGTCCAAAAAAAAACTCTATTTTTATTATTATTTTTATGTAGAATTTGAAGACACCAGCTGCGATTTAAAGTGTGTGAAAATTGCATGATGAATGGGCTCCAAATGCTCCAAAATCAGTTTGAAGCCCTCTTTATATTAACGTACATTAAAAGTTAAGAAAGTTTTGTCTTCTTCTGTAAAGTTACTAATATGGAAATACATGTTTTCTGCTGTTTTCCTGACACTGAGTACTTGTACATATTGGCGATTATGGAAATGAAGCAAGTGAAGAGTCGTCTCTGACTTTTGCACAGTACTGCTTGCCTGCAACCTATTATCCCAACATGCATATTTAGGCCCAGTCCCATTTCTTATTTTTACCCCTAACCCGTGTTTTCAGGAGTCACCCCTAGGAACTGGGTTACAGGGTAGTGGTTGAAATCTTCCCTCTGAAATGGGACCCTCAAATAAAAAGAGCTTCACTTCATTAACAGCTACCAGCGCTGCTCTGTAGGTGACCCTGCCAGTCTGCAGTGACAGCAGAGGAGGGTAAAGTTCAGCTCCTCACTGCTGGGCTTTAGTTACATTTAGGGCATCATATGACTTCAAAGAGGGGGGCAATTATTTATTATCGCCCACCCCTAATTCTTCAGTGATATGAAGCTGAAGTGAAATTCACCAGATTCTTGTTTGAATTTTCCTGTTCCACCTTAAATGGTGCAGCAGTTACATTCTGGAGCTTCAGGCTTCAGAACTGCTGGACTATTTAAGGTGGAACGGGAAAGTTAGCTAGTTAGCTACCGAGACATTAGCACTACTATTGTTTTTTTTCTGCTTGTTATGAAGGAAAGGACCATAATACACTGAAACGACATTAAACTAAGACAATACAGTGGTTATCATATTTTTTAACAGAGAAAATTCTCACATTTGTGTGTTTCTTTGGTCTCTTGTTCAGCCATCTCGCCAGTTTTTCTTTTTTTCTCATAACTCTCTGTTTGGAGTCTCTGAAAAACCTCTGTTTGGAGGGTCATGTAGCCCAAACACTTTGCCCTACCCCTCTGTCTCAACTAAAATCGAGACACCCTACCGACGTGAACGCACAAACAGAGGGCTAGGGCTAAGTGGTAGGGGCGAAGGGTGAAATGGGATTGGGCCTTAGACTCTGTTCTGTTTCCAGGGTCCCTAGCGCAGTTCCACAGTTAAGACTGTCCTCTGGATGAGGGATAAACAGCTGGACAAAAGAATCTCAGGATTGAACACCAGACCCAGGAGGCAATTCATCACTCACAGTGTTTTTTTTATTTTACTTTTTTTGTTTGAGAGACAAAAATGATATATTTATATCATGTGAGGTGCTGCAGGAGTTCATTTGCGACACTGAGGGCCTGAACATTTAAGGACTTGGGCTTCCCCGTCTTTCACTGAAGAAACAGAACAGCTGAGATGTGGCAGCTGGAGCTGACTGTGGAGATTTGCACTGGGACACACGAAGTCAGGAAGTTAGGGAGGGTCTGGCGGAGGTGGTCTGGCGGCAGGGGGTGGGGGGTGTCGCGGGGCCACAGGGAGACCTGATATGTCACAACAGCCTCGGTTTCGTCCCATCAGCTACAGCCCTGATTACCAGGAGTTCCAGTAAGGTGGAACTGAGCGGGAACTGTGTGTATGCTCCATCTTTAATTCTGGAAAACTCAAATTTTCAAAAATTTCCAGTTTTTCCAATATTAAGAATTGTTCAACATGAAGTGTTACCCAAAGAATTTGTATTCTACCAAATGACCCTATGACAGGGTTGCCTTTTTCCCAGTCGGAGCCGCTGGGAATCATCCATTAAAAGCCAAAGCGTTGCTCTTTTTGGGCATCTTTACTTTTAAAGTAAAGACTAAATGACTGTAAATTGGTCAATTCCAAATGAGTTTTATATACATACATGGATTTTTAAAACTTGGAGGGGACAAGTAAGCGATTTATGCTCTGTAGGAATTGAGGAAATGGTCAGGGTGGTCAGCTAATTCTCCTGAGAGAGAGTGTTGACCCCAGGAAGATCATTCTGCCAGTAAAAGCATAGAGACACTAGAGAAACGGAGGTGGACAGCTGTGATTGATGGGGCAGCCTAAAATAAATGCCAGGCAGACAGCGTGTCAAAATTTCAGCTATTTAGGTTATTTTGAACAACATAAAAGTCATCATTTTGATAGCTTTGTAAATAGCATTTTGTAAACATGCTGTCTGCCTCCCTTCTATGCAGTTAATCAGCTGCTTTATTACATGCTAGATTATTTAATTCTCAAAGGTTATTGTATTTTGTACGTTTGTATGAATTTGTAAACTGCTTAAGATGCTAATCCATGTAATAGATTATGTAATATGACAGTATTGTATATCAGCCTTATTTGCACTCGAACACTTAATGTATCGCTGAATTAGCAGCGTCCACTAGCAGCCGTCTGCCAAAGAAGTAAATAAAGGGAAATGACTTCAATGCAAGTTGTGTGCCTTGTTGTATAATTACTGCCGGCTACCAGCACAGGTGCCAAAAGCTTGAGGATAATCGGAATGTCTCGGGCTGCTTTCCAATTAGGACAGCAGAATTTGACCAGAAGATGGATGCCAGCTCATTTTACCATGAGTCTGCACGGCTTGTTTCTGCTGGGGTCAGTTGTTAGAAAGAATGTGGCACACTGGACTATTCCGGGTCATTCTTTTGAGAACGAGAGAGCGAGAAATGCAGAAAGAGTCTAACGTCCTGCCTATGTGCTGGAGGTTTTGCTGGCCACTGACTTCCGGTTTTAAAAAAAAGAATGTGTTAAATGTATTAATTAATATAGCATCAGCACAATAATTGCCAAAAGTAGGTAAACAGAACTTTTTATGTCACGTAATTTATTTTATTAATTTAGAAATGATGTAGACATTTGAATCAGATAAGTTCAATGCATCATTTTTTGTCCTGTGCAATAATGTGTGCCATTCACAAATTCATTACATATATATATCTATATCTATATATATATATATATATATATATATATATATATATCGCTGCTGTCGGAACAAAACCTTTCACCTCCATTTTTGTCGTTTTGCAGTTTTTGACATATTTTGAGAAAACCTACGGTCCTTTATATTGTGCTTATATTGTGTAAATTTTAAGATGGATGGACCAGAAGAAATGGCCCAAAATTATGTGGAAAAATGTCTGGTTCCATTGACTTACATTATAAGTAAAGCATGTTTTTTTGCTTCTCCTGTAAAGTTAGCATTTTGGAGATAAGAGGTTTTATTCCGACAGCAGCGATATATATATATGTGTCCTGTAATGTCCTGTAATGTACACAGTGTTCTTGGCAGAGCCTGCTGGAACATTTACAAGTTCACAAGTTCATGAATGATGCTGTAACTCAAGCAGTAGTGTGTAGATTATATAATGCATGTTGAAGATGAACTGCATAAAACACCCTGCACGTTAAAGGGGAATTCCACCGATTTTCAAAATTGCTGTGTAATTCACTGGTTCAGATGTAAACAAAGCCATTCAAAATGGTTTGATGTGAAATGGTTCATCGAATAGAAACTCGAGAACTCAGATTTTCAGATCTTTGTACAGTTGTGTATATATAGTTTATGTAGTTGTGTATAACAATAATAAAAACGTGTATAATTTAATTAACTAACTACCGATAAACCTAAACGTTTCTTTTTGTGTAATGTTGATTTTAGTAAAATATATTAAAGAAATATTTTTTTAAGCATTAAGCGCTTTGTTTAAATCCCGATCATGATGATGTGGAAAGTTGGAGAACAGTCGGTGGAATTCCCCATTTACAGCCTCCTGAAAATTGTGTAAATTACAATGTCAAGGCCATAATATATTAAACTGAATATGAGAAAATAATAATGAAAACCTTTTTTTTTCCAAGCATTCCTTGTGCGTTTGTATCTCAGAACAACTGAAAATCTATTAGAAAACAGGAATAAATATTTCATGTTAAAGAAGATTGAATTATTCATGACAACTGAGGTCGCAGTCTAAAATCCACTATATATATATATATATATATATATATATATATATATATATAGATATATAAAATATCACTGCTGTCCTCGTAGAAAACCTTATATCTCCATTTTTGTTGTTTTTCAGTTTTTACATTTACATTTTAATTTACATTGAAAATACCTCTTGTCTTTTACATTGTGTGTAAATTTCATGATGAATGGACCAAAAGAAATGACCCAAAATGACTTGTAAAAAATTCTGGTTCCATTGACTTACTTTAAAAGTAAAGTAGGGTTTTTCCTTCTGTATTTTGGAGATAGAAGGTTTTCTTCCGACAACAGCGATACATATATATATATATATATATATGTGTGTATATATATTGCTGCAATATGTATATACACACTCAGAGATGCCTGTACACACCACACACTCACAGAAAGAAGGGGAGAGAGAAAGAGAGAGAGAGAGAGAGAGAGAGAGAGAGAGAGAGAGAGAGAGCAGCTCTTCGTCATAGTAGGCAGTGGTCCAGCGCAGCAGATGTGATGGATCTGTTACTGATGTCTTCACACTCTGAGTAATCTGAAGCTTTCTGATATAATCTTCACATTTCCTAGTAGATGTTATCACTTTGTATTTTGAACAGCTGAGAGACAAATGTTAACAGCAGAAAACAGACAAGGCTGCCTATACACAAACACCAAACACACACCAGAATTAAAAAGATAAACAATCCCTGCAGATACAGACGTACATCCCTGCAGAGTGTAACGGCTGAGGTGCTTTGATCTTGTGCGTTTCTTCACATGTGTGCGTGACACTGAGTAAGGTCCAGTCAGAAAGTTACAGTAATCTGATGCTGGCATCATGGTCCAGTTGTCCAACGGTATTTTTATAGACAGCAGTCATGTAAATGTGTCAGCAGCACATAAACACCAGAGCGGCCTCCTCTGAATGCTCAGACTACAGACACCGTCCTGATTGTGCGATTGTGACATAGTGCAAAATAAGTAGAGGCTTAAAACTGGATTAAACCCTTAGGCTAGAAAAATACCCTGAACATACCCTGTGCAAGTGCACTCTCTGTCGTACAAGCTTAGCATGTGTTCTTATGTTACTGGAGCAGATATAAACTTTAGTATTAAGCTGAGTAGTAAAGTATAAATTAAAGCATCTGTAAATTGATTCTAATACAGTCAGACTCCTGTCCTCGCCGGTCGCAGCACTGCAGACTCTCCACACTGACCCTTTAGGCCGAAACAAAAATGTGGCTGTAATGTGTTTTTTGTTGCCTCACAGACTACATTTTAATAGGCAAACATGTGGCTAGGAACATAAGTCACATGTCAGGTGCCTTTTATCATTACTCTGATAAATCCAGCCAATAATAATCTCTTATCAATCTGAACCGCGCTCTCAATTCTATACACTGATTCATTTCACTCTGGCCAAAGGTGCCCGGCCTGTTCTAACGGCCACAACAACAAACGTGTTGATAGCTGAGGAGTGTCTGCTACGCTACACGTTGCACAGACGGAAAAAGGCTAAACAAAAGGTGGAGTGCTTGGCTGTTGAATTGCTCTCAGTGGAAACAGAGTGTTAATACCTGCTATAACTTGCTAATACAGAATGCAGCAATGAGTGAAATCAAGCCTGTGAAGAGTTTGTGTGCTTGTTTTAACCCTTGTGTGGTGTTTAGTACTCAGTGGTCTGGTGGACCCTACAGCCATAATAATTTATGTAAAAATACCAGATTAAAATATCATAAGTGTCCAGCGTTGGGTTCTCCTTTAGCAGCTGTAGCCAGTCAGCAGCCTGTGCATGTTGTCCACCCTCACACACACACACACTAACAGCAGGCCATGTAGGAGGAGAACAGAGTGAAGGACACAGCACCTCTACACTTTTACTCCCCGCAGGTTCACCCAACACCACATGTGTAATATAAATGTGTGGGGGGTGAACAGAGTGAAGACACTGAAAATGGGTTATTTTATATGTTCTTCACAGAAAATGAGCAAAGACCACAAATCTGAAGTTGAAATAATAATAAATCACATCATTTTTTCTTTTGGTAAACATTTAAAATGGGTCCCCCAGACCTGAACACCACACAAGGGTTAAGTATGTCTGTACCATTAAAAGTTGTGTCCATATGGGTCCCTACGTGGGCCCACATTTCAATTTCTCACTCTCATATATAAATTTAGATATTAGTGTCAAAGTACTTAATAATTTATAGCAGTTACTAGTCTTACGATTACCTGAATAATAAGCCAGCAGTTCAATTCAAAGGGTGTCAAGAGATTCGCATTTTCCACCTTCTAACACTTTGAATTCAGCTCATGAAGGCCCTGCTAATTCGTTGATGAGCTGAATCAAGTGGGGTTGATGAGCTGAATCAAGTGGGTTAAGGCATGGCTCAGCTCTTGGCAGAGTTGCTGTAATGTGCCTGGTTCAACAAACAAAGCCCTTTGTGTTACCTGATGAGTTGATTCTGGTGTGTTAAATTAAAAAAGGGCTACATTCAGTAGGGATTGAGTCACGTCTTAACTGTTTTAACCCCTTTTCAACTGCAGGCTTATTTTCGATTTATTTATTTTAATCTCATTATTATTCAGTAACTTACTATTCAGTAAATATATGCAGTCCGACACCGCTGGACCCTGGGTTAAGGGGTTAACTGTGTGCTAATAGAACAGCAGAGACACATGCTCAAACAGCGGCACCATGGCTCAGCATGTGGTCAGCTAGCTGAGTGTTGCAGGAGAAAGATGCGCCGCACTGAGAGCACATGAAGACTTTGCTATCACACTGCTGCTGCAGCAGGTGGCGCTGCAGCGCCGTCGGGCGGCTGAAGGACTTTCCGCAACTCCGGCATTCGTAGGGCCTTATGCCAGCGTGCGTCCGTTGATGGCGTAGCAGGCGGGACGGCATGGCAAAGGCCAAACCACACTCGGAGCACATGTGCGGGCGGAGTCCCGTGTGTATGCTAAGGTGTTCGGCTAAGTTGGAGGATTTGGTGAAGGATTTGGAGCAAATGTGGCAGGTGTAGGGCCGCAGGCCGGTGTGGATCTTGCGGTGTTCGGCCATGCGGCTGGCCACAGCAAAAGCCTTGCCGCATTCGGGGCAAAGGAAAGGCCTTTCTCCCAAGTGGGTGCGCTCGTGGCGCATTAGCGATAGCGGCTTGTTGAAGGTTTTACCGCACTTCTTGCAGGGGAAGGGTTTGTCGTTAGCATGCATGTTGCGCTCGTGCTTGCGTAAGTCAGAGGAGCGAACGAACTCCTTCCCGCACGCCTCACAAGCGTACGGCTTCTCGCCCGTGTGCGTACGAATGTGCTTGCGGTAGTCGGATGACCAGGTGTAGGTTTTGTCGCAGAACGGGCAACTGTAGGGCCTCTCGCCGGTGTGCAGCCGCTTGTGCTGCTGTAGCGTGCCCTGGTGAGAATAAGCCTTTCCACAAAGGTCACAGACGTATGGCTTC